ACTGTCACCCTAGCACTTAGGAGGTAGAGTCTGGAGAATCATAAGCTCAAGACTAGCTTGAGCAATTTAGCAAGATCTTGTCTTAAGCAAATGGACAAACAAATATAAAAACACAAGGGTTTTTCTTATTTACAGTCTTGGAATAAATTGTGTGCCTCACAGCAAGAAGCATGAGACTGGCTAGCTGGCCTTGATCTCACTAAGGAGCTAGGGCTGGATTTGGACTCTAGCTCCTCCTGCCCATGCCTTCCCAGTGTTAGAATTGTAAGCCTGGAGCACAACTGGTTTAATCTTTTTCTTTCACATTTTCTGTAGAGAACCCGAAAGACTGTGGCAACTAGATTGTTTGCTTATGAATAGATCACTTTATCCTTGAGTTGAGAATCAGAATTCTGGAAACCACACCTAATTTATTGTTACGTACATGGTGGGGCTTGGATGCTTTCCTACGTAGGCAGGGGTCTGGGAGACCAGGCATCCAATAGGAGGGTCTGAAAGCCTTAGTATTTTTTCCCTCTGGAACATTCTCACAGCCGTCCTGTGACTTCCCTGAGCTTGGTTTCTACAGGAAAGAACAGATTGAGTCATCGCAGGCTGCCGTGCAGGACCAAGAACGTTATGAAGATTCCCACTTAGGGGGCTACCGGCGGATCTACCCTGGGCCCGACTCAGAGAAATATGCGCCCTTTTTCAAGCACAACGGCTCCCTCTTCCAGGAGACCGCTGCCTCCAAGGCCAGAGAGGAGTGTGCCAGGTACCTTGGCTGCATTTCCCTTTGTACAGGTGGGTCAGGGGCAAATCCCTGAAGTTGAATTGCTCCCTGGCAGGAGAAGAAGCTACACACTGGAGAAAGGAGAAACAGAGCACAAATTCTAACAGGTTCTCTTCGTGTCCAGGCACATACATGCATGCCTTCACTTGAATGTATGATGTGCATGTATGCAGTACATTTGTGCACACATATGCATGCGGGGGCCAGAGGATAACCTTGGATGTTGTTCTCTAGCTGTTCACCTTATCTGTGCGTGTTTACATATAAAGATTACATTTACTTGTGTGTGTGTGTGTATGTATAGCATGGTGCACATGGGGAAGTCAGTTGTCCCCTTCCACTGTGGGGTCTCCAGCACGTGAACTCAGGTGGTCAGCTTTGGTGGTCAGCACCTTTACCAGCCAGCTGAGCCATCTTGCCAGTCCCATTTTGTTTTTATTCTTTATTAGTATTATAATTTTTTAAGTTTTGTGTTTTCGAAATTGGGTCTCAATATGTAGCTTTGGCTGACCTGGAACCTGCTATATAGATGAGGCTGGCCTGAAATGCATAGAGAATCTGCCTGCTTGTGCTTCCCAAATGCTGAGACTAAAAGTGTAAGTGTGTACCACCATGCCACCATGTCTGGCCCACTTTAGTTTTTGAGTCTCTCTTTGTCTCTTTGGCCTGAAACTCACCAAGTAGGCTGGGCTAGCTGGCCAGCAAGAGTCCCAGGGACCTGCCTATTTCTGCCTCCCCAGTGCTGAGATACAAGTGTGTGCTACCACACCTGGCTTTTTTTTTTTTTTTAACACAGGTTTTGAGGCTTGAACTCAGATCCTCATGCTTCCAGGCCAGGACTTTACTGCCTGAGCTATCATCCCAGTCCACTAACAGATTCTTTCTTTTTCTTTTCCAGACAGGGTTTCTCTGTGGCTTTGGAGGCTGTCCTGGAACTCACTTTGTAGACCAGGCTTGCCTCAAACTCACAGAGATCTGCCTCTCTCTGTCTCCTGAGTGCTGGGATTAAAGGCGTGCGCCACCAACGCCTGGCCACTAACAGATTCTCAATGAGTCTTTCCTTTAGTGTGTTTCCTATACTCTCATTCATTCCTTCTCATCAGTTCCAACAACACATTGTGATTTCCTCGTATTAGCCCACCCTGCTTTCCCTCACCCACCCCCCTCTCCCCACACATTCTCTCCAGCGTCTGAAACTGCTGTGTCTTGTCAGGCAGCAACTGGAGGAGATTCGCCTAAAGCAGGAACAGCAGGAGAACCCAGGCACCAAGAAGCGAAAGGAAAACAAGGACCAGAACCAGGGTGAATCAGCTGGGGAGAAAAGTCGATCGAGAGCTGGAATTCGGGGCCTTGCCACCAACTTGGCTTACAGGAGCCGGAACCGGGAGAAAGAGGTGTCAGGGGCTGTGGCTCTTATCTTTCCACGTGAAACTAAATTGGGGGTACTAGAGAAGGGAATCGCTGCTGTCCTGTCCTCTCCTTGCTTGAGAGAGATGAGTCTCTAGCTAGTTGAATTGAATCTGACCTTTCGGAACAGAAGGTGAGAGAATGGACAGCTAAGGGGACCTCACGGTGCGGTCTGGGGCGAGAAGAGGGAGAGTGGGAGCATGTCCCGCAGCCATCCCTGCTGATGGCGTGAGCCTTGGACATCCTGTTATCTCTCCTGTGCCTTGTAGCTGCTACCAGTACACCTGGACACCACGCAGCCTCAGGACATTGTGGAAGAGGAAGAGCTTGAGCGGATGAAGCTCCTGTTACAGAGAGAGAATCTCATCCGAAGCTTGGGTATTGTAGAGCAGCTCACTCGCATGCTGTACCCCAGCCAGCGGGGCCACAGAAAGCTTCATGAGTATCGGGTGAGGGTCCCTGCGAAGCCTCTCACAAAGCCAGGGAGCAAGGGCTGTGATACCGACACATGGTGGTGGTTACATCAAAGGAAGTTTATGTGATGGTATCTACCACTGGAGCCTGGGAGAGGGTCTGTTGGTTCCATGATGTCTGTTTCCCAGGCTCCCTTGGGTTTGGTATTGCAATCCTGCAGAGTGCAGCTCCCAGCTTTCTCAATTGCAAGAGACTTGCTCTCTCTCTATTCTTGTTTCACAGTAACCCACAACTCACGCCTCATAAATAACAAGGCCACCACCACGCTAGGTGGCTTCTGTGTAATTGCCCTAGCATTGCCAATGCCCTGGCTCTAATGGGAGCTAAGTAAACAGTCTTGGGCCAACAAAACAGCTGCCGTTTTCACTATTCCCTGGGCTAGTAACAAACCTGTTGGGCCCTATGTTTTTGTTGAACCCCAGAAGAATAAGTAGTTAAACAGTGGCTATGGCCTAGAAGAGATTGTTCTTTTTTTTGTTTTTACACATTTCTTCCAACACTCTATCCAGCCTCACAAGAAATATGGTAAGGGGCTGCTCTTCTCCTCTAGCCTAGATTTCACCGGGACGGGCTGGGCGGTCAAGAACTGCAACATGTGAATTTGGTCCCATTGGTGTTCCTGAGAGGGGCTGCTTCAGAACAGGTCCCTCCTCATTTCCTGCAACCACTTCGGTCCCACGAATTGATCCCCAGGATCTTAGGGCCACTATCAAGCATCACTCCCGCAATTGCACAGCATTCGCGGTACCATCTGCAGCCCAAGACCTTCAACTGGATAGGAGATCCAGCAACCATTGGCCCCTGTTCATTGTCAATGAAGAAATCTGGGAGGCACTATTTTTCCAGCTCTAGAGTCAGGCTCACTAGCCGTAAGTATACAAAACAAGCTTTGGTCACTTTGACTGGTGCAAATTCCCAGTAGCAAATATCACAGCAGGGATACTCCTAAGATATAGAGTGGCACTCCTGATAGTGTAGTAATGGGGGAAGGCAGTGGACCTATTTATTTACTTCCTTCTATCTAGTGACCCTGGTGATAGGCATGGTAGAAACAGTCCCAGCCCTCAACAAAGGTTAACAGGGAAATGGACATGCAAACAGACTAATTAAAATACAGTGTGGTAAAGATGCTGGAGGGAAGCATGGGATGCCATTCTTCTGTGTAATTGGACCATAGTTGGGAAAGAGGTGAGAACACCTCTTCCGTGAGTACCACAACTTAGTGGGATCCCTGTTTCTACTGCAGAAGGTCAAGCCAGCAGAAGGCTAGAAGCCATAAACCGAGCCCTGTCAGGATCAGTGCCACCCACTTTAACCCCAAAGCAGGGCTATCTTCTGCAGCCCGAAAGACAGGAAAGTGACTCATGGACCGAATGCTGCACCTTGCCCTCCATGGTAAACTCTGAACACAGAGGAGCCAAGGCTGGGGACCTCACCCTATATCCTGCCTCTGCGCCCGTGCTGCAGCATTCCAGCCCACTCCTCAACATCATCCAACACAGGTAAAAGAAGGGAAGCCCAGCACTCAACCAAAAGAGCAAATGGCCTTCAACCATTGCTAATTGAAAGACTGCCACCAAGTTCCAGTTTGAAAAGCTCTGGCCAGGACCTTTGTTTGCAAAAGGCAAAACACAAGGACACCAAGAATTTGTCAACATTCTAAGATTCTTTGGGGGATCGGTAAAGACTAAAAGATGAAGAGCTAAGGCCAGCACGTATGCATCTCTGCTGGGTTTATCGCTAAGCGATGGGTCTGAACCCTGGATGTGGCCTGGGTCTGGAGGTCACTGGGAGTGCCTTTCCCAGTGGAGTCAAATGCCCAAGGTACTGTGTAGTCGCCATCAGAAGATTGCTGAGGGTTCGCCCTTCCTGCCACAGTGGCAGAATCAGGCAGGCCTGGGCAGCCTGTGCTAGAGGGGCGGTTCTGGGCAATGAACCCGTCTTTTTATTAAAGTTTATGTCGTTTTCCAGGCGCGTCCTGTACCTCCTTTCGATCCTCGCGTCTGAGGCAAGCTCTTCTTACAGTTACAGTAGGGAAGCCCAGCATGGTGGCTCAGGCCAGTAATCCCGGTTACTTGGGAAGCTGAGGCAAGATGATGCAAGGCTAGGGCAATTCAGACAAGTCTCAAAAAATGTTTGGCTTTTTTTATGGCTAGGGAGATAACTCAGTGCCAGAAGCTTGCCTACCATATTCTATCACCTGGCTTGGCTCCCCAGCACCCCAAAAACAAAAGCAGAAAAGGGTGGGAAACCTTACAAGTGCTTCTGCCGCCCACCTGGTAAACTGAAGGTTCATTATTCCGTCCAACTTCCGGTTCCTCATTCTGCTTCCGGGACCGCCCTCCCGCTTCCGCTGCTTTCCGGTCGCGAGTTGCGGAGGACTATCTTGGATCGCAATGGCGTTTCCCCTGAGCCTCTTGCTTGGCGGTCGTGTCCGCGCCGCTGTTGCTCGCTGTGGGTTCGCGACCCAGGGCGTGGGGGGCCCTGGCCTCGTGGGCCGCGAGCCGGACCCTGATTCCGACTGGGAGCCGGAGGAGCGGGCGCTCCAGGAGGTGGAGAGGTACCGGCTGCTTAGCGGGCCCTCAGCCTGAAGCTAGGCTTCCCGCCCCCAGCTCCGGGCGTCCTGCCGCCGCGTCCGCAGAGGCGCTAGCTTCTTCTCACCCGTTGTCGAGGGCGCAGGGGCAAGTGTCAGCTCCCTTGGGACCCCAGGTGTCTTCGCTAGTGACGTGTTTCATCACCCGTTTAAAGAGTTCGGCTTGCTTACGGTCCGGTGTTGTAGGTGTTAGATTTCTGGGGCGGTGTACAGAGTGCGTTAGCCCGGCAGACGCAAGAGGGCTGGGCTCTCCGTGATTTAGTCCGAAACTCTTTAAACATCCATCTTGCTTCCACGCATGGCTTCTGCCATTGGTTCTTTCCTCCAGCACTCTGAAACGCCAGAAAAAAGCAATGAGAATCCAGAAAATTCGAAGGCAGATGGAGGCTCCAGGTGCTCCACCCAGAACACTGACGTGGGAAGCCATGGAGCAGATCCGGTAAGACATTGTTTTCAAAATAGGGCCTTCCCATCCATCCATCCATCCATCCATCCATCCATCCATCCATCCATCCATCCACCTACCTATCTTTAGTTTTTCGAGGCAGGATTCTCTGTGTAGCCCTGGCTATCCTGGAACTCACTCTGTAGACCAGGTTGGCCGCGAACTCACAAAGATTCGCCTGCCTCTGCCTCCCAAGTGCTGGCATTAAAGGCCAGTGCCACCACCGCCCGGCTAGGATTTACTTTTTGAGAACTTTAATTTTGTCCCTTTTTAAACAAAAAATACCATAGTAAGGTTTTGCGATGCTTGTGGACCTCGATTATGGTCCACCGAGGGTATTACCCCCGAACTATATCCCGAGTCCAGGTTTAGTATGTTACCATTATGGAAAATTGGTTGGTGGTTTTTGTTTTGTAAAAACATTAGTATGTATAGAGGCCCAAACATCTAACATCTGAATAGAACGGGATGCTCTCCTCCTGAGATCATGAAATGGAATTTTCCATGCTTATGTACATTGTTTTTTGGAAGAGAACTTTTCTTCCTGACAGTCTCATGCAATCCAGGCTGGCCTCCAGTACTCTGTAACCAACAGTCTTGAACTTATCCTTATCCTCCTGAATGCCGCATGTGAGATTATAGGTATGTGCCAACTTCCTGAATTTTTTTTCTTTTTTAGACAGGGTTGCTATGTAGACCAGGGTAGCCTGGAATTCTTGGCAGTCTACCCGCCTCTGCCTCTCTCCTCTTTTAGATCATCCCTGTCTTGGGCTCCTCAGACATTCCTGGGTCAGACCGCAAGCGACAGGATTGCCTGCCCCAGGTCTCCCTCTGGGTGCACTAACTGCATCTTTTGCTGTAGTGCTTAGTTATTCTGTGGCATATCCACCACCAACCTGTATAATCTTGAAGTGAAGGGTAGTCCTCCATCATCAGGACCTAACATCTCTATCAGTAGACAGCAGTTGATAGCTGTTGTTGTGAACTGTCCTGATGAAGAATGGCCAGACATTGCTGTTTGTACACAGGTACAGAATTGATTGGCACAGTCTAAGGACTGCATTTGGGTTTTTCCCAAGCTCTTTTTACTACTTGTTAATTACTACTTGTCACTAACATTACCACTTTAGCTCTTCTCATGGGAGACATATTTGCAATGTGAAAAACTGCTGTTTTCCTCATAGGTATTTACATAAGGAATTTGCAGAATCTTGGTCAGTTCCCAGGTTGGCAGAAGGCTTTGATGTCAGCACCGATGTTATCAGAAGGGTTTTAAAAAGTAAGTTTGTACCCACTTTGGAGCAGAAACTGAAGCAGGATCAGAAGGTCCTAAAAAAAGCTGGGTTTGCCGGAGTGGTTTCTGGAAATACTGTGAAGCCACTTGGTACAGGCCGTTCTGTATCTGACCTGCTGCTGCTGCCAGGAGCTGAAGAGTCGTCTAAAAGCCAGAATCAGAGCACAGCGTTAAAAGTGCTAGGGTCAGACACTCACAGCTCAGCTGCACGGAGAAGACCGGAGGAAAGGACTAAAAGAATCCAAGGTTTGGAAGAAAGCTGGGTGCCTACCACTGCAGCCGTGGGTCATCAGAGCGAGCTTCAGAAACACACCACCAATGATTCTAAAGCCACTCCAAGAGCTGACAGGGATAAGTTGCTGAGTGCTGAGAAGCTGGAAGAGTTGAAGGCTGGGGAGCCAGGCGACCAGAACTTCAGCAGCAAAGTAGTACAGAGGGGGCGGGAGTTCTTTGACAGCAATGGGAACTTCCTCTACAGAATTTGAGTCTGGGCCTGGCTTCTCCAGATGCCGTGACACAGCTGGGCAAGTAGATTTGAAGTTGCCAGCATTTCTGCATACGATCGGCTGCTTTGGAAGAATCTAGGCTAGGATGTGAGTGGAGGAGCTACTTGGCTAGAGTCAGACCTCTGGAGTAAGCCCCATTGGACCCCTGCGGATCTAAATCTCATTGGTCCTTGTTGCTTGGTCTCACTGTTGAGAACAAGTATTATATGTGATGTGTCATCAATTTGTGTTACTGTGTTGAGAGGAAATGGAAAGCTTGCCTCCTGACCTCATTTCCTTCTTGATCACCGAACACTAACAGTTCTTGAATGGTTTAATCAGATGGTTTCCTTATGTGCAAAATAAAGTAAAAATGTAGTACTTTGTTGCTTGGTGTTCTCTTGGGCAGGATTTTCCTGTAAACTTTGGAGAATGGTGGACTAGAAAAGGTGGAAAGGAAAAGTATTCTTTGTCATTAAGTTTTGGCAGATGGCACCAGAAGAATCCCAAGGCTTCTGTGCATAGGCACTCACGCCAGTGATAAATTGTTTTTTAACGTTTTTTTTTTTGAGCTGGGCGTTGGTGGCGCACGCCTTTAATCTCAGCACTCGGGAGGCAGAGGCAGACGGATCTCTGTGAGTTCGAGACCAGCCTGGTCTACAAGAGTTAGTTCCAGGACAGCTTCCAAAGCCACAGAGAAACCCTGTCTCGAAAAACCAAAAAAAAAAAAAAATTCTAGTAGAATTCCCTAAAGCAGATCTGTCAGGTGTTCTGTGTTGTGCCGGCTGGTCAAAGGAGAGTTATTCCAGAATGTAATTTAGACTCTGGCAGCAGGAGAAACAGTTTCTGAAAACCGAACCCCAAACCTCTGTTCAGAAGCACATTTATTGGCTGTACACAAAGGCTGTGTTTGGGGCACAACACATTCCTCATGTCAAAAGCCCCTTTGATTTATCCTGTATGTTACCTGAAGGAAATCATTACACCCTCACAACCTTTAGTTCTATCGTTTACTGTCTACAGTATCCAATAATACAAGACCTCCAAGTGTGCATGCGTGGTCTTGTGGCCAAAGATATACAATGGATGGATAACCTTCAGAAATACAACTATGAGTCAGAAAACAGTGCAGGTACCTTGAATAAACACTAATACATGAAACTGTTACCCTAAGCACAGTGACTGCACATCTCTTCATGGTCTGTGACCCTACCCTTATTTTCTGCAGTTTGAGAAATTAATACTGTCATCCTTCTCCTTCCCCACTTTGAATGAAGACCCCCTGAAGGATAGAGACCTGTGCATTTAATACTGTGTCCTACACTACTACCATATTGGTTAAGCTCCTGACTACTACTGTGTTGGATAAGTGAAGAGATGACTCATGGACTTCCTGACAGTCTATTGTGGTAGCAAACACCACCTTTTAGGTTTGCCATTTTACTCACCTAGATCTCAGCCAAGGCACATAAACTTCCAAAATGACCTTTCCTTGTGTGTCTCAGGAATCGGGGTTGAATACAGTTGTACCACTGGGCTGTGGTCATAGGACTTCGTTGGGTCCCTGTTGTGAGTTCACCCTCTCATGACACAATGAACATCACACTGAATGAGGTAGAACTTCCCTTAGTTGCCATGGGTGGTGGAAGAAGAAACCGGTAATGAGGAGGAGTGGGTACCTCCACTTGGGTTGGCATACTGCAGCAGAATGGACTTGGCTGTGCCACAGAGGCACACTTGCTGCTTTTAGGAACAAGGTGGGTGAAGGCATCTCAGTGCAGCAGACAGCCACCCAGAGAGCATGGTGTGACGTCAGGCAGAGGCCAGGAAACAGACTGAAGCACTGTGTGAGCTCAGGCCTTCTTAAAAAACTTTTTAAACTTCATTTAAGTTTATTTTCACGGTGCTGGAGATTGAACCACACAGTCTGTTTTATAAGTGACTTTTCCAGTTGGTTTGTTTCCCAAACAGGATTCATGTCAAGTAACACTACATTTTGTTGGTATGTTCCTTAAGTATATTAACTCTTCCTGGGTAACAAATTCAAGAGACTAGGGGGAAAAAGCTGTTGTTAATATACCATTCTGCAGAAAGGGATGCCAGCATAGAGAACAGGCAAAAAAAAAAAAAAAAAAAAAAATGGCAGGAATGCTGATTTGGTACAAGCCGGCAGTTTTTAAACCGACGAAAAATTCCTGCCCTCTATTCCTCATAGACTGTTTGGGATTCACAGTCTGGCATAATCCCCTTCTATTGGTTTAGGAGGCAAAACCTAATAAGCAGCTTGAAGCTTGAACTGGGATTAAAGGTGTGCGCCACCTTTTTGTAGCTGACTGTAACATCTGCCTGCCTGCCCGCCTGCCTGCCTGTCTGTCCGTCCATCCAGAGATCTAGTACATCTAGCTGTACTAGAACTTTGTAGACCAGGCTGGTCCTGAACTCACAGAAGACCCTGACTCTGCCTTCCAGTACCAGGATTAGAAGCATGGGTCACCATGTGTGGACTTAATAATGCATTTCTTAAACCTTAAACTTTTTCTTTTAGAATAGTCCCACCTTTCACAACCTTTCCCCCTTGCCATTTATTTTTAGAAGCTAGGTCATTTGTCCTAGATGAGTTCCTGCTTTGAGGAAGTCAGGGTTGGGGAGGGGGAAGGAGTCCAGAAGTTGAGGTGGAGTCTTTGATAGCTCTCAAATTTGTCTTTTGAGGCAGGGTCTTCTGCTGAGCCCTAAAGTAGGCATAAGGTTAGTCTAGCTCTAGGCAGCCTGCCTGAGGGGTCCCCAGCCTCTGACTCTGGAACTGAGGTTACTAAGGGGATGCTATGCCCACTTATCATTTTTGTGGGTGCAGGGATCCAAACTGCATTCACCCTTTATCCACTGACCTGTCCCCCAGCTTTCCCAACCCTCTTCTTCCCTTCTTCCTCGGAGACAGAGTCTCATGTTGCCCAGAATAGCCCTGAATTCATCCTTCTGTCTCCATCCAAGGGCTGGGATTACAGGCACCTGCCAAGACACCATTTTGCCTTTTTTGTTTTGTTTTTAAGAAACAAAGTCTTACACATTACCTTTTCCCCCAAAGTTTATTCATTTATGTATTTCCTCAGTCAATTCCTGTCTGCAGCAGCATGGCCTGCATGTTGAGACCTTGCCTCAAAAACAAAAACTCTCTGTAAATAGCACCATACAGATGTACTTGTGTGTTTTGCCTCTTTAATTTATTCATTTGTAGTATGACTGTGCCACAAGTTTATTCGTTTTTCCCATAATGGATATTAACAAATTAAAACTCCAATATTCAAAGGCAAGTTCTTTTTTTTTTTTTTTTTTTTGGTTTTCCGAGACGGGGTTTTCTCTGTGGCTTTGGAGGCTGTCCTGGAACTAGCTCTTGTAGACCAGGCTGGCCTCGAACTCACAGAGATCCGCCTGCCTCTGCCTCCCAAGTGCTGGGATTAAAGGCGTGCACCACCAATGCCCGGCTGAAAGGCAAGTTCTTTTTTTTGTTTGTTTGTTTAGGTTTTTGTTGTGGTGTGGTGGTGGTTTTTTTTTTTTTTTAACGAGACAGGGTTTCTCTCTGTATTGTTATTGTTGCGGTTTTTTGTTTTGTTTTTTGTTTTTGTTTTTCTTTTTTTTTTTTTTTTTTTTTTTTGGTTTTTCGAGACAGGGTTTCTCTGTGGCTTTGGAGGCCATACTGGAACTCACTTTGTAGACCAGGCTGGCCTCGAACTCACAGAGATCCGTCTGCCTCTGCCTCCCAAATGCTGGGATTAAAGGCGTGTGCCACCAACGCCCGGCTTTGTTTTTGTTTTTCAAGACAGGGTTTCTCTGTGTAGCTTTGGAGCATGTTCTGGAACTTGCAGCCCAGGGTGGCCTCGAACTCACAAAGATCCACCTTCCTCTGCCTCCCGAGTGCTGGGATTAAAGATGTGAGCCACCACCACTCACAGATAGCAAGCCTTAACTTTCATAGTCCAACATATTCATTTCTCTTCACACTGCTCAAACTCACATCTACCTCCTACCACCTGGAGGCCAAGGACTGCATAGTCGGAGACTAGTTTGACAGTTGAGACTTAAGCAATGAGTGCCCCGCAGACTAGGTGTCACTCGCTTTATGAAAGTTTAAATGCAGAAAAGGCCCAATCTCCACTTGAACGGAACGAGAGTCTATTGCATTCTTAAAATGTATCGCTCCCTGGGATCTGGAGTTTGAGGAATAAGCAATTAACAAGGTATAATCTCTTTATCCAAGTCTCTAATGTGGCTGGAGAGCTCCTAAGCAGCAGAGCAGTCCTAGCACCCGCGTCTGGCAGCTCAGAACTGCAGCTTCAGGAGGTATGGTAAGCTCCTGTAGTTTCTGCAGGCACCTGCCCACACGGCATACATTAACAGACACACGCGCACATGCATGCTCGCACACAAAGTACACCTGTAAAAAAAGTTAACGCCTCCCCTCCTGTTAACAAATGTCCCTTTCCGGACGCCGTCCTCACTCAGTGTTCTAAGCGCCTGCAGAACCGGACTTCCGGGAGGTCTAGGAAGTCGCTTTGCTCTGGGTTGGAGGCGGGGTTCTCCCGGTTCGCTGTGGATTGTGCGGATGTATTTGGGGATCCTGCTGACAGGCACAGTGGAGTTGGGCGGGGCCGGGTGACTGCAGGTCTAACCAGGAGAGCCCCTTGACGTCTGGCCGGGTGGTCATCATTCATCCCTATAGAGCTGCAGAGGAGCGAGGGCCCCTCGGGGGTCCTGGGTCTCCGAGCCCAGGCTTGCAGGGTACCAGCCTGCGCTAAGCCCTGGGCCATTGCCGGCCTTTTCAGAACAGAGAACATCATTCTGCTCTCAGACGGTGGCCCAGGTGACCGCTCCCATGGCTTTTCCCCATCGGCTGGACGCTCCTGAGCTTCCTGATTTCTCTATGCTCAAGAGGCTGGCTCGAGACCAGCTCATCTATCTGCTGGAGCAGGTAGGTCAGTGCCTGCCACGCCTGGCGCCTTTACTGCGTCAACAATGTGGCCCTCGATGTGATTTTTTCCTTGCTGAGTCCCTTGGTATTTTCCTTGGAACTACCTTGGCAAGTCCAAAATGGGGTATTCTACAGGAAAAATCAAAGAGTAGTCAGAGTTGCTTGTGACCTGGCCAGAGAATAAATGGAAATTGCCAGTGTCCGTGCAAGAGAAAGACCTACTTGGGCCAAGCATCTCTGAAGATGGAAATATAGTTGAAATACCTTTGCCACCAGTTACATTCCAGTAGGTGCCCTATGACACCTAGGGTACCGGGTGGTAAGTGACTGCTAGACTTCCTGAGGAGTTCAGAATAGATAACAACATCAACTGAGGAGGCGTTTCCTGGGCTCTGAAGTTTGAAGAATAAACACACTG